GACCTCTATGGAGACCAGATACAATCCATACTAAGAGTACAGTCAAAGGTAATTTATTTTATATCTACCTGATTATGAGCTGTTTTATATAAATAAAGATAGAGCTGACATTTTTGTAAATAACTTGCAGACTGAGCAAGAGCCATCGACACTGTCAGAACATCCAAATGAACTGCTGTGTCAGCACTTTCTTCATCTAGCTCCATTTCATCGTTCGGAAGGGCTTCGTCCTCTTTCGTCGTCTTCTCAGTTGCTATTGGAACGTCTTGTTTAATACAAGTTGTTGAACTGAGTGCACTGTTTGCTGATCTTTTCGAAATGACATCTCTTTACAATAATAACAAAAAATTACATATCAACATTTGTCACACTTGATTAGGGTTGGGCGATATTAAAAAAATTATGTCACGATTATTGTCAAGGAAATTATCATGATACTCGATAATATCGCGATAAATGCAATAAAACAATGACTACATTTTTCAATTTTAATTAATATCATTGCATAATAAGCTTATATAATTATAATCTTATTAAAAACAAGTAAAACAACAAATTAAAGAAATATGAAGGATTTTTCTAGTCTAATATTTACTGTTCAGAAACCAGAACTGTCTATGCTGTGTCTACTGTGTCTCTATGCTGTGTCTGTATGCTCTAAAATATCGCGATAAATCAAAATATCGAAATATCGCCCAACCCTACACTTGATATTTACAGGAGATAAACTAGCGACGCAAATCTAAGATAATAGAGACCTTTAGATTGACGTTTACGGCAAACGTCAAACCGCTAGTGAGGTTTTTGATTTTACAACTCTATTATAATAGCCTTTACACCAGTTTTGAAATATATTAAACTTATTAAACTTGTGCTCTTTCACAATGATTTAAGAAAGCAAATTAACCACTAGTCATGCCATTCACCAAAGCAGTAAATTAAGATTTGGCGTTTGAAGTTGACGTTTGGCGTATAAATTCATGCTTTAACGACTACAAGCCGTCGTAGCAGTTCAAGCATGAAATTTATATACGCCAAATGTCAACTTCAAACGCCAAATCTTAACTTACTGCTTTGGTGAATGGCATGACTAGTGGTTAATTTGCTTTCTTAAATCATTGCTAAAGAGCACAAGTTTAATAAGTTTAACATATTTCGAAACTGGTGTAAAAGCTATAATAATAGAGTTGTAAAATCAAAAACTTCGCCAGCGGTTTGACGTTTGCCGTAAACGTCAATCTAAAGGTCTCTAATCATTGTTTTTTCACCATGTTTTCCGACACATTGTTTCCTTAAACCAATTGATTCTCAAAGGTGGGAAAACCAGGAAACACTGTTTCCTCGTCATGTTTTTAGAAGGTGGGCAAAACATGAAATATTGTTTCCTATAGCCATGTTTCGCGAAGGTGGACAAACCAGGAAACATTTCCGGGAAACATTATTCTTTTCAATATTAATAATCATGATTCCCGAAGGTGAGCAAACCAGAAAATGTTGTTTCCTGGACATCCAGTTTCCATAGCCAATGTTTCCTGAAATTGAGCAATTACCCAATTAGAAACATATATATATATATATATATATATATATATATATATATAATGTTTCCGTTTTGAGGATATTTTTCAATTTGAGGAACATTTTTGCTTTCTTGCATGGGAATGAAATTTTCTTTCTGAAACAAGGGCGGGCAACTGAGGAAAAATCCCCCAATGTTTCTGTTACAATGCTTGCTATACTGTTTATATACCCTGCAAGGTCTCAACATTAAATTTACAAGAACCTTATATTACTTTAAAGCAATTTAAAAGCCAAATTAAAGCATACTGCTCAGGCTCCTATTCTTGGTTTTCACTAAGGCATTATGCAATGAATCTGACGGGGGGTCAACCTCAAATGTATTGATGCTTATGCTGTACTGGAGTGAGAAAATGATAACTTCTAATGAAAAATGGATAATGATAAATGAAAAATTTAGTTTTCTATACAACTCGTCTAATACATTTTTATCGCTATAGAACGGTGTAAATGTCATTTGATTACCTTTTATGGCAGTTAATAACCAACTACTCAATTTCAACCAATGGGAATCCTGCGTCATTCTAAGCAACGCACAGACGCGTTTTTGTTAGCTAGGCCTGCAGGCTCTCTCTCAAATTTCAAAGAGAGCCTGTTTGCAGGCTATTTAAACACTTACTCTAAAATCCTGTTAATTTCCTGTTGATCATAAAGTTCAGTGCCCACAAGTGCAGGTTTAATGCAGGTATTAATATTTTTAATAATTGCTTGAATTTGGTCTTCCTTATTTTCGGGTGAATGTTGTCCATCTGTTACGGAAAGCTTTGAGTCTGGACTTTTCCCCTTCACAACAGGTTTATTTTCGATTGGAGGTTTACTGTCAAATGGAGCAAGGGAGGTGGAAAGAGTCTGAAACAGATATTAAAATTTGTTTACAAAATTCACTCTGTAATAGTATATAGAAACAAACCAGTTCAGCTTTACTACAGCATATTCAGTATAACAATTAATTTAACACACCATGATATTTCCATGGACTAAAGCTTCAATTTGTACTTCAAAACTGGAATAAACTCTGGAACTGAGAACCTCGGAACTTGTTACCTTCAGTAGTGCCAAACAAGAAAAAATGTTAAAGCCATGTAAACTCTTGGGAACCCAGAATAGCTATGGTTTCTCACAGCTGATAAAGTTTATTCACGCTGTTAGTGGGTGTAGTATATGTGCAGGCACAAGAGAAAGTCAGTTAAAGTAAATTAACGTAACTAAGTTGCAGTCCCTGAAACTCAGGTTGGCATTCGGCAATGCATACCTAAATGCCGACCTACAAAGTGATATGTGTAGATTTAGGTCGGCAAAATTTTGCCGACCTAACTTTCAAATACGTCTCAGCATTTTTTTCCGCAAACGCATCTTTCACATAGGCATTTTCAACGATGATGTTTTAATTATCACTTATCAGATTTTGATCATTGGCTTGCGTAGTCAAAATACGCTTTGCGAGAATAAAATTTAATCCTTGTGTAAACATTGCAGTTTCATTTTTGAAAGGTGATACTTGAAACTTTGAAAAGTAAACATACGTGTAAAATCGTGGAGCATCAAGATCTAAGCGAATTATAGTATACGGTACCGGTTATAAAGTAGTGTACAGTCTGGCACAACATTTGGTCACAACATGCACTGTTCGATTGCAGTTCATACATTTTGTTAGTTGTTTTGTTCGCTATTGGCATTGATTGCAATTAATTGCTGTTTATAAAATGAATGTATTTGCAGCAAGCATATTAAATTTCCATTTGGATATTGTCCATTTGTTTCGAAAATATTTGCCGACCTAGATTGAGAATTATCGCTTTTAGGTTGGCAATTTCTTGCCGACCTGAAATTTCGGGAGTTTCAAGGACTACAGTTGCCATACACAAGGAATCATTGAGTATGAGGATCTTAATAAATATTGCTTAACATGCTGGCATGCGTACATTACTTTACCCCTTTCGGGGGACAGTTGTTCAAAGCTGGACACTGAAACAGAGCACTCTCTTTACACTCATGAAAAGGGTCCTACTAATTACTGCCCGAGACTGCCCGGGAACTGCCCGGGAACTGCCCGAGACTGACTGCCCGAGACTGACTGCCCGGGTAAACACCGTAACATAACATTTATTATACAGTATGGTAAGGCAGTGTGTTCTTGTTTTAAAACGCTTAGTACATGTATAAAAAGTTTTTTCAAAACAAAGCTACCGGCATTTTCCGCCGAAGTTCGTTTTTAAATTATTATTAATAATAATTGAATATTTAGATTTTAGTTAATATTGCAGTTGTTTTTGCAAACGAACACCGTGCAAATTTTGCCATTTGTCCTAGCATGCAGCCAAATGTTTTGAAAAAAACCTTTTTATACATGTACTTAGTGATTTAAAACAAGAGCACACTGCCTTACCATATAATAAATAACGTTATGTTTACCCAGGCAGTCTCGGGCAGTAATTAGTAGGACCGCATGAAAATGTTGATAATTTTGGATTATATACACTTACATTTGCTATTGTTGGCGGCTTGGCTTGGCCAGCAAAATATTCTGCCTAAAATGAAAATACCATCTATTTGTTTGTGGTTGACATGGAGGGAAAAGCTACATGTTAAATACTTAAATGACATTTTGTCATATGCCCAAACAGCCAAACTCTTTAATTACAAATCTTTCAACAATATTTAAAGTTATCATCAGGGGAAATAGTAAACAGTAAAAACCCAGCGTATAATAAACACTAAAAATCCAGCACAATCATCATAGAACACTGTAACAGTAGTGTTTAATAACACTTTAATATACTAAATTGCCAAATGCTTCTGTGATATTGATTAAATCCTTGTAAATATAATCGTTCCATACCATGTAACCAAAAATATCATCGGGTCTTTCAACTACAACATCGTTAAGAAGTTTTTGAAAACATTTTGGGACCTCATTGTCCGTCAGATATTGAACTGCAGCTCGTTTTCTTTCAAAATACTTTTTTTCTTGTTCGGTCGCCATTTTGAAAAAGCATCTGGTTGCCATGTCAACCATGGGCAACACCGCAAACGATTTACTCCACGGGCTCAAGTTGTCGAGGTTCGTGTCGCCGAAAGAGTTTCGAATGTTTTTTACGTGCGCGTAAAAAAAAAGTTCGAATTAACTGTGATCCGTAAACGAAGGATGAAATAAACGTGATTCGTGAATCTTTGTTTTGCGTCGACAGTTATTTCAAGATTGAATCAGCTCGATTAACACTAGACAACTTTTGCCTAAAACTGTCGCATGCGACCGGCAAGTTGCATACGACAGTTTTAGGCAAAAGCTGTGTAGTGCCAGTAAATCGGCTTTAAATTGTTACTTGACAGGCTTGCAACCAAGACTTCAAGTTTTGAACAGTTCAGGCCGAGAGAATAGAAAATACAAAAAGAAACAAACTCCGAAAAATAAGGTCATCTTGAAATTCAAGATATGAATTAAAACAAGACGAGTGTATGAGACTAAATTTTCGGTGAGGACAAGGTTCCTGGCGGTGAGGACAAGATTCCTGGCGGTGAGGACAAGGTTCCTGGCGGTGAGGACAAGGTTCCTGGCGGTGAGGACAAGGTTCCTGGCGGTGAGGACAAGGTTCCTGTGGTGAGGACAAGGTTCCTGGCGGTGAGGACAAGGTTCCTGGCGGTGAGGACAAGGTTCCAGGCGTTGAGGACAAGGTTGCTGGCGTTGAGGACAAGGTTGCTGGCGCTGAGGACAAGGTTCCTGGCGCTGAGGTCAAGGTTCCTGGCGCTGAGGTCAAGGTTCCTGGCAGTGACGACAAGGTTCCTGGCGGTGAGGACAACGTTCCTGGCGGTGAGGATAAGGTTCCTGGCGGTGAGGACAAGGTTCCTGGCGTTGAGGACAAGGTTCCTGGCGTTGAGGACAAGGTTCCTGGTCGTGAGGACAAGGTTCCTGCCGGTGAGGGCATGATTCCTGGCGGTGAGACAAGGCTCCTAGCGGTGAGGACAAGGTTCCTGGTCGTGAGGAGAAGGTTCCTGGCGGTGAGGACATGGTTCCTGGCGGTGAGGACAAGGCTCCTAGCGTTGAGGACAAGGTTCCTGCAGGTGAGGACAAGGTTCCTGGCGGTGAGGACAAGTTTTCTGGTGGTGAGGACAAGGTTCCTGGCGGTGAGGACAAGGTTCCTGGCGGTGAGGATAAGGTTCCTGGCGGTAAGGACAAGGTTCCTGGTGGTGAGGAAGAAGTTCCTGGCCGTGACGACAAGGTTTCTGGCAGTGAAGACAAGTTTCGTGGCGGTGACGACAAGGTTCCTGGTCGTGAGGACAAGGTTCCTGCCGGTGAGGACATGGTTCCTGGCGGTGAGGGCAAGGTTCCTGGCGGTGAGGACAAGGTTCCTGGCGGTGAGGACGAGGTTCCTGGCAGTGAGGACAAGGTTCCTGGGGGTGAGGACAAGGTTCCTGGCGGTGAGGACAAGGTTCCTGGCGGTGAGGACAAGGTTCCTGGCGGTGAGTGCAAGGTACCTGGCGGTGGGGACAAGGTTGCTGGCGGTGAGGACAAGGTTCCTGGCGGTGAGGACCAGGTTCCCGGCGGTGAGGACAAGGTTTCTGGCGGTGAGGACAAGGTTTCTGGCGGTGAGGACAAGTTTCCTGGCGCTGAGGACAAGATAAATTCCTGGCGCAGAGGACACGCACTCTTATATAAAAGCACCGCCTTTCGAACCTGACAGCCCGTTCGCAGGATACGCGCGGGATTTGAAATAGAGGGCGGCAACAATAAAAATACGTGACAAGGGATGAAACTCTTAAAATTTGTCGTATAATGAACGCCCCCGTCTTGAGTGGACCAATAATTATGCAATGAGTGTCGTGTCGAATAACGCCGTCACCCTTTGGGAATCAATGATATAAACAAGGAAACAAACTCGAATACAACTCGAGGTGAGAAGCCAATTTGTGTCGATCGTAACGATTTCAATGTTTAAACATATCATGTGGCCGAATTTCATGCTAAAATTCGTTTTAACAAGCACATACGGCTTCAAAATAAAACATCGCCGTATTGTAATTTCATCCCTTGTCACATTTCTTATTTCAGTGCGAAATAACGCGTGTATCCTGCGAACGGGCTGTCAGGTTCGAAAGGCGGTGCTTTTATATAAGCTAATAATAGATCTTAAATAAATAAACTGAAAAACATACAAGTACAAATCAACTTATATGTTGTTATTATATGTTCGACTATAGTAGTATTATTATTATATGACATATTAGTGCAATTTAGTGTTATAATTCAATTAAAAGGCAATATAAAGACACTAAAATAAATAAACATACAACACATACAACACTAACACAGATCAACGCTTGGGCTCCCTGTTCTATTACCATTATTTTATGAGAATCTAGTTTTCCGTGAAATTGCTTTTTTAAGACACGTGAATCGTGAAACGGCTTTTTTTTTCGTTGTGAAACGTGATCCATACCCCCCCCCCTTCCTACCCTCTTGCGACAGGTTAAAAACGTGACGGTTATGTTTTAATGGAACAGAAAAGCGATAGCGTTGGCAACAGTTTTGCGACAATCAGGAGGGGGCAAAGGTCCCCTCTGAGGGGGGGGGGGGACTGTGTTTGTCATTTTAAAACTGCCGCCAGCTGCTTGTACGATACCTGGGTACGAAATTAACTTGCGACAGTGTCATGACAGTTAATACAACCATGTGAAAACAAGCTTCAAAAAGCATTAATAATTCATGAGCAAAATACAAAGAAAAAACATAAGCGTGTCGTATCTTTATATGTGTTAGAGATTTCCTATGATTTACACAAACTTTAACGTTGATTTTCTCGACTTACACAACGTATAATTCCCCCCTTGGAAATTCCAGGCGGCAAGCAGGCTACAACTAAAACCTAATTCCTATTTTATTAATCAATGCGTGGGATCTTACATATATTTGCACACCTGTGCCTTCTAGTGAATGTAATACAAACATTTTAAATTAAACAATCTTTTCTAATGAGAACCATTTCTCCTATTTGCTTTGTCAAGTATTGTATTTCATCAATAGACTTTTCCCCTTTTAAGTGAAATTTTGATCTAGACAAGTCTGGACAAAAATTTCATCACCGTTTGAAAGAGCATCGCAAAATTAGTAATATCCCGAAGTTTCGTTGCAAAATGTTGTAAAATGCGGATAATATAG